ACTTCCTCAGTGGTCCTCCGGTTCACTTCATGAACCTCAGCTGCGGCTATCCGGTTTGCCTCGCGAACAGCTTCCATCATTGCCGCGTTGGCCAATCTAGTGGCCTCCTGATCGGCTAACCTAGCCGCCTGCATCTCAGCCAATGCAGTCAGGAGAAGATCGAATTGATCCTCAGAAGTCTCTCGTGTTCTCCCGGACCTTACCATGACTCTGCACAAGTTATACAAATTATGAGTTGATCAGGCCCACGCAATGTGATCACATATACAGCATCATAATAAAATTCGACGGAGTAACACAAAGACAGACACAACCAAACAACCTAGCAATTGCAATACATACAGGCTTTTCCCTAGAACCATTGCTCTGATACCATAAATGTAACACCCTGTATATATCCGGTAATGTTATCATAATATCGTATTAAGCTGCGCTTAATTAAAAATGCAGAATTACTTTTTTCTTTTCAATTATGATGCCATTAACATTACCAACTTGCTTAATAATCAATTAATAAAACATCTCCTGTATGTAATTGCAATAAAACAGCTAACTGAAAAACCTCATAACATAGATAATATAAGTGTGGCTCTAGTCGCGGAACTACAGCAATGTAGACCGGACCATCTAACAGTTTATACAACTCCAATCTAAAAAGTACTAACAGAAAGTGTCATGGACAATCCCCATGCTCACTCAAATAAGGCAACATGCCCAACATCAGTCTCAACAACAACATATCATAAATAGCGAAAAACATAAACAACATCCAAATCCAGTCATGCTAACATAAGCAGTAAAACATAATCAGCTAAGCTCCGGCCTCCGGCCGCCTGAGGCATCAGTTCCCATACTACCTGATCCTGAAATAAGCATTCCCCAAACGTGGGGTAAGATCTCTAATCTAGAAATCTCAGTAAGTCAGTGAGTCCTCAAGGATCTTCCACCCCAAGCTCACTTACATGTGCAATATAAGTTCAAAAGCAGTTTATCATTTATCATTTCTAAAGCAATGCAATGCAGCAGATAATCATGTCATTACATGTAAAGTTCAATCAACATATCAATATCCAAAAGCATGTACACATGCATAAACCATACCCCCATGGGACATGGTGGAACCACAATATGGCTAAACCGAGGACACGAAAGCTTACCTCGCAAGCTAGCTATCCAATAACCAAGAGTCCACAGCTCAACGTCCAAACACATCAGATTCACAATCTGTTATGGACCAACATTATATTAATAAACATGTACCACATGCATTCAACTTAAAGACAACGCCTTTCCTTACGTTTTACGTCTTAAGGCTCCATACCAAGCCATAAGTCCTTAATCACAACGATTCTGACTTAGTTTAATTAAAACAGAAGTTCAACTTCATCAATCTAGGGTCCACAAACCCCCAATAGCCTACTGTCCTCACAGCACAGCTACTGTTCTTCGAAATCCCAGAATATCCGGATATCCCTCGGGACCATATCCAGATATGGAATATCCGGATATCCAGAATCCCATATCCGGATATCTAATATCCGGATACTCAAAACCCATATACGGATATCACATATCCGGATATTCATCGGGCACATATCCGGATATTTCACGACAGAATGCAGAAAATGCATTTCGTGAAGATATCCTTCCAAGGTTGGGTTTTTAACGATTTAAAGCACCTAAACATGCATTTCTAGGTGTGTTCAACATTACCCAACAACAAGTTATCATCTTTAAGCCTTAACATGCATCAAGCTTTCCTTTTTAAGCATTAAACTCATGATCAAATGTTGGTACACATACCAAAGGCTTAAAACAGAAGAAGAGGTTCTCTTTGGAGCTCACAATCAGCCCCTCAAGACTGACTCAACAAGGTGCACGAAAATGGATCACAAGCTTGGACCTTTCAACACAAAGGAAGCTTCTTGGACCTCACAATGCCAAAACAAAGGCTCCCACAAACAACCAACCCAAGTCAGCCTCAAAACCTCACACACAGCAGCTCTCTCAACTCAGAAAAGACCAGCAATGGAGTCCCAAAGCTAGCTCTCACCCTCACCAAATGTCTCCCAAGAGAAAGTGTGAAGAAAAATCAAGAAAGAAAGTGTCTTGGACCCAAAATGGAGAAGAAATCCCAAGGAGCAGCCAAGCTGACCAGCCACCCTCACACACTCACGTAGAGAAAGCAATATGACCTAGGGTTTAGTGCCCACTAAGGCTTATATAGCCCACTTAAAGATTAACACACAATATTAACTTTAATTGCTATGCTTAGCATTTTAATCCCAAACTTTGGAATCTGAAACTACACATTTTTCCAAGATTTAACCTATTTTTCTTATAATTTTCTGAGTACCTTTCCGGTACACGCTTTTCCAAGCCAGTACCGGTTTCTAGCACCAGTTCTCATTATCTGGGTTTGAAACTCGTTTTAGAAGTCCTACATATTATTCTAGTAATTGTCATGCACTTATTATAATTTTCCGGGATACTTTTTCGGCACGCATTTATACCGACTAGCAGAACCGATATCTGCACTTTTCTTCCGAAAAGCGACTTTCAGCATTATTACTCACTTACTATAATTATTAAAGCCTCATAATAATTATTAGGGTCAATTATGGAATCATTTCCTATTTTCTCATAATTTATTAAGTAAATTCCTTAATTAACGGTGCGGGTTCTTACAGGGTGTGACCCTTATCTTGTGTATTTTGACTCTTTAATGTTGTTGAGATACTCATGAATCTATTTCTTAATAGATTCTTAGGTGAGTGGTTGAGATATGATATTCATATCCATAACAATTACATACTAATTTGCACACTTATTGCCCGTTTGAATGAGCTTTTATTCCTAAAAAAGTTGCTTTTTAAAAAAGAATAAAAGTCCTTTTGAGAATTTTTAGATGTTTAAATAATAACTTTTTAAAAAAACAAAATTTAAAATAAAAATTAAAATGCTGGTTTTTTTATAGCCAGTAGTTGGTTGCTTTTGAAAAAAGAAGAAATTAAAAGATAATATAATTTTTTTTTTGGAAAAAAGATAATATAAATTCTTAAAATGCAATTTTAACCTTATCCTATCATCCATGTAGCACCGATATTGACACGGAACACGTGACACTCCGACACGACACTCCGACACGTTAATTCTAAAAAATGTTAGATTTCGACACGTTAGGACACATTTTGATATTAAATAATATTTTAAATTTATGTAGTGTATATTATATTAAATATTCAATAATTTAATAAAAAATGAAACTAAACTTATAATATTCATCAGTTTGGCAAAGAAACATAAGATATCCCAAATATTTATATTAAACTGAATAAAATGGTAATCGTAATCCAATGAATCTAATAGTTGGAACTAAAAACTCAACGCAACGCAATCTTTGAACCTTTTTTTGAATTTCTATAATGCGTGTTGGAGTGTCGGGAAGTGTTAGACACGACACGTCAAGGTTTTAGAAGTGTCAGTCCTTCATAGCCTATTATACCTATTTTATCTTTCCTTATCCTATGATCATGCTATTTTATCTCTCTTTTATTGTAATTTTATATATAAAAAGTATTTTTTTTTTTTAACATCCAAACAACTTTTTTATGTAAAAGTGATTTTCAAATCATACAACCAAATGTAAAATAACTTTACCTTTTAAAAAAGGGGAAGGTTATATTTACAACCTATTTTCTTTACAACCTCTTACAACCATATATCTTTTTTTTTTTAGAGTTACCCAACCCTAATTATCTCTTTGAGACGAGTTGGCTCCCTCCGGTATCCCCACGAGCTTCGACTCTTTGAGCCGGCTATGAGACTAATCTGGAGTGCGGGGGAACAGTGATGGCTAAAGGTTCAGCCCCCTCCCCAAGAATGCATTCAGCGGGAATCGAACACATATCCAACCCCACTAACTCAGCGCCAAATTACCAACTGAGCTGCACCCATTGGGTTACAACCATATATCTTAACCGTTGATTTCCGTCAATCAACGGTTAAGATTTTTGCAAATTAAATTTATTAATTAATTATTAAATCATAATAAATAATAACCGTTGATTGACGAAAATCAACGGTTAAGATATATGGTTGTAAAGAAAATAGGTTGTAAGTATAACCTTCCCCATTAAAAAAAATTATTTAAAAAAACAATACATAAAAAGTCATTTTTTATAAAGCTCATCCAAACGAGGCCTTAGTCACTACTGCTTTTCAGATTATGCCGAAATAACATAGCGAGATAGTCATTGGTCCAAGCCTCCAAGGGCATTGAAAACCCCCATGTCACACAAGTTAGCCAAGATTTCTTGTAACAAATTTTTATAAATAAAAATTAAGTTAATGCAAAGTTTATGTATAAATGAGTGAACCCCTTCATCAAGTTTAATTTTGACGATTTAATATTATATAATTTGTTATATATATAATTTTACTTAAACTTCATTTCACTTGAAATCACATAAAGATTTCAATTATTAATATATAAATTCACAATAAAAGTAGAAGAGTGTGATAAAGAGTAAGGAGATGATCACCATTAATTCATATATAAACAATTGAGATAATCTAACATAAGATACGAGGTGATTGACCATGATACCCCAATATTTAATTTTTTTTATCACTTTTCCCCCTTTTTAAAACTATGTATTAATTTTAACCTTTTATAAAAAAATATAAATAAGATATGTGAGATGAGATGATTTATTAACGATTTGAGTGTTTTGTTTATTTTGTGTATTTTCATAATTAACTTTTAAAAAATAAAATGAACTCTAGGTGTATAGTTATTAAATTTTTTAGAAAAATTATTATATTTATATTTTAACAGTAATCTTACTTTATTATCTGAATAATGTTTTTGAACTTAAGTTTAAAATATTACTTTCAAATATAAGTTATTTTTTTAAACATGCAATTAATTCATCGAAACATAATCCAAATGAATAATACTTCAAGGCAATATTTTCCTCAAAACGGAAAGAATCAAAGTAGTGTCCGAAACGGGTCGGAGGAAAAAACGGGTCTCCCCAACGCGAGAACGATCTCTGACAGTTCTCAGTTTTCACCAGATCGACCCCTTCTCTCTCTCTCTCTCTCTCTCTCTCTCTCGCTTAACCTTCTGAAGAAGAACGAACTCTAGAGTTTGTGTGAATTTCGATTCCGAAACCCGAGCTGAACAAACCTGAATCCAACGTTTTCACTGAAGATCAGGTTCTGAACTTCGGATCTACATTCTCGCATTTTCTCAACGTTCTCGTTGGCTTTCGCAGTAAATGTGGTTATTCGTTTCGGATCCTGCTCGATCTTTTTTTTGTGTGTGTTCATAATTGTTTCGATTTCGCAGTTTGGGAGGTGGGAAATGCAGCGTGCTCCGGTGACAGTTGAGGAACAGTTGTTGCAAAAAGCGATTAAGGAAGAGTCTCCATGGGAGAACCTTCCGAAGCGACTTCAAGCTACTCTATCTTCTAAAGAAGAATGGCACAAAAGGTTAGAGTGGCATCCTCTGTTCTTCTGGTGTTTTTTTCTTTCTTTTTTTGATATCTTGGAATTGTTGAGCCTTAGTTAATAGTTACCCAAATTTAGTTGTCCATGTTTAAGTAGTAATTGGTAGTTCAAGTCTATAGGAGTGAACGTTGCGTTTCAATGAGTCATGTACAACATGAAGGACAGTTAGGGCCTATAAGGGTCAGAGTTTAGAGCTTCCATAGCATTAAAGTAGCATTGCACACTAGGGGTACCGTTATGGCCTATTTCGTGCTCTTATTGATGCTCAAAGAAATCGGGGAGTTTTTTATATTTTATTTTTTTAAATTGAGTTTCGTTTTCTTTTTTATTTTCTTGTTGTCTTGTTTTACTTACCTCTTTTGCTGTATTCGTTAATAAGTGTCTTGTTTACTTTAATACTAAAAAATCTTAGAAAGCATAGTGGTCCTGGAAAATAAATTGCACCCTTTATATGATAACTGTACACTTGTATTATGCTATTTTTCTGGAAGATGTATAAATAAAAAGACATGGTTCAAACTGTACTATCATTATCTGGATTCTTTAGATCCTCGACGTGCATGTGTGTTAGGAGGTGGGATTACACTTAGCTTTGCAAGTTTTATAGATGCAACTTAGGTACTAAACAGACCATTCAAATAATGAAGTTTTTCATGTGTAATATCATGCAATAGAGTTAGTGTGCTATGCATGACCCTTTAATTTCCAAGTATGAGTGATCTTATACCCTTTTCAAGTGACAACTTGGTCCTGAATTAGTTATTTGGTTTTTCTTTATTTTTTTTAATTAATGTGACCCTGGTTGATCCCTTTTAAGCTTTCAGCTTAACTTATAGAAAGGGACAAATCAGATACTCTGTTTAATGCCTGTTTGACTGTGCTTGATCCTTGGTCTAGAAACATATCTTTTTCTCATTTGGTAACTTGGGTAAGAGAGAAGGATAGGTGTTCTAGTGGAGAATCGAGCCTTTGACATCATCATCACAACCCAATCTTTGGGATTATAACTGGTTCTAGAGTGCTAGTTGAGTTTCAAACTTGTTGGAACACATATCTCTTAAATAACTGCAGAATGGAATAAATTTGCAATGGAAGGAGGGAACTTTTGATTTTTAGGAGCTGTAGTGCCTTTAGCAAGAAACCCGAAGTCTTTTCTTAAGAAACAATAACTTTTGAGAGCTAATATTTTTCTTAGAAATAAGTTTTTTAAGGGTAGATATTCGTTAATAGGAAACATACCCAAGCTAAAGTATAAGCTATCTTTCCTCTAATATTCATAATGTGCTACACCACTGGTTACAAGGCTCGTGTCAATTCCTCAAACATATATTTTTTAAATACATAATCTTAACACTGCTTTTTTTTTTTGTTGGCTATCGAAATTGCATGCAGGATAATTGAAACTTGTGTAAAGAAGAGACTCCAATGGAATAGTTGTTTTGCTCGTAAAGTTTGTAAAGAAAGCGAATATTATGAAGAGATGATGCGTTACTTGCGGAGGAATCTTGCTGTATGTCCTGTATAGAGGGCTTCCTTTCTATTCTTTTTGAAATTGTATATCAAATATGTTAGAATGATTGGGCGTAACTCAACCCCAAAAGCTAGCTTGAGGGGGGAGGATTTATCAATCACTATAAAGGGTGCTTTCTCCATATATTTAGCATATGTGGGATCTCTTAACACCCCCTCTCCTGCTCAGGACAAGTTATCTAGAGCATGACGTTTGCTAGAGGCTTGAACGTCTCTGGGTGACCCAAGATAGGCTATATGGATAAGCTCTAATACAATGTTTGAATGATTGGGCCTAACTCAACCCCAAAAGCTAACTTGAATGGGGAGGATTTCTCAATTATTATAAAGGGTACTTTACCCATATATTTAGCAGATGTAGGATCTCTTAACACATCCCCTCATACCTAGGACAAGTTATTTGGAACCACAATTTTCCGGCAAGCTGAGATATTTCACTTGGCTTGGACTGAAAAAGTTCATCCAGTTTTGTCTTCGTATCCTTACAACAACGTCAGACTCTGCATCTCATTTAGTGTTAGAACTAGGTGCCACCACAGTCTGCCGTTTTCTTTTGGATTGAGCACCCTATTCTAGAACCAATTATGGATGTTAGTCTAAGAAATTCGGCCATGCTAGGTGAGTTCAGCAGTGATCTCCTTTATCTTTTCCTTGCTGGGAGTCCAAGTCCCCTGCGTAAATATTCACTCCCAAATCTGAAGCTGCACAGATGTCGGAGTCCACCTCTGCCTCAAAGTTATTTGTGGCCACTAGATCCCATTAATTTGTCACAATACATATAAAAATATTAAACATAAGGATCGACTCTTTCTGAGGAAATGGAAGCACATGAGGGTTACAACTTATACTAGTGAGCAAGTGACTAAATTTTTTTAGTAAGATGGTCGCTCCTTGAGTTTGACAGCATCCCTCTGAAAACAGGCACATGAGCAAAACTTTTGAGACTAAAGTCTATGATTGGTTCCAGAATAGGCGTGTTGGATCTGAAAGAAAACAGAAGAATGTGGTGGCACCTAGTGTTAACACTGAATGAGAAGTAGAACCAAGGATGATTCTAAGGATAATAAGACATGAGCGGATGAATTTTTTCAGTCCCAGCCAAGTTAAACTACAGGGCCTGCTGAAAACTGGTGCTGAAATTTAACTATGTATTTTATTAGAAAAATGGGGTGGTAAGATCAAACTCTAGACGTTTTGGTCTGATACCATTTTATATACCAACTTCCCAAAAAGTTTAAAATGTTGGGTGAAGGTAGAAGAATGGTTTTATTATATCCCAAAGGATTGAGCATTATCCATGCTTCAAAGTCCTAAAGGGTGGGGGGCATGTTAGAGACATAATGAAACCATATATGTGCCTTCACCCAACAATTAAGTTTCTAGCGGAGTTGGTTCATGAGAAAATACGTTGTTGCATTGTTTTCATGATCAGGATTCTTTGGTTTTAGGATCAGTTTGTGATAAATAATTAACCAATAACCATATTAACTTGTCTTTTTTATAAAAGATGTTTTTATCTGCATTTTTTTGTTGCAAGACATTAGCAATTAAAATGCTTTTTTTTTTTTCACTTGCAGCTATTTCCTTATCATCTGGCGGAGTATGTTTGTCGCGTAATGAGGGTATCACCTTTCAGATACTATTGTGATATAATTTTTGAAGTAATGAGAAATGGTAACTTGTTACTTGCTTGTTGTAATTCTCTAATGCATTATCTCTCCATGATGGTTCTGATTGATTTTTGCTGTTTTATAAATTGTAATCAAATGATTTTTTTCATTGTAAATCCATGTCATGTAAACCAGCTTGTTGATTACCGAATGAATAGTATGTACATATTTCTGACTGTAGGTTCACCTATAACTTGAATGGCTTGAACTGGAAGTGCTGACCATTTGCTTTGTTCTTGAATTGAAAACCATTTCTCAATACAGTTTCAAGTGAGAAATATCTAGTAAAATGTTGACTTATAAAAACTCTTCTATGGGATAGAATTATACCATTATATTCCTGGTTAATAACTATGCCCTTGAAGTAAGGAAATTTGCGTTTGAAATGGTAAAACTCTTTTGCCCTGTGGTCATGAGTGATGCTTCCTAGTCTAAATTGAGGGTGCACACTTGTACCACTTTATGAAATGTGATTAGTGGTAAGTACATATGGTGAATAAAGAGACAAAAAGCTAAGTCACATTTGTTGAAACATGGGTATGAAGAAGTGATAGGTTCTGGGGAGTATAATGTACGATATCAATTGAACCTGATGTATATCCCAGAGCCAATATGGTGACAGAGGCTTTGGTTAGGGCACTCAGGATTCTAGATTCATGGCTTTGCTGGGTATGCTCTTGAAAATAAGTGTTTCTGCCTAAGCCTTGGACTTTAATGTGCGGTTCAAAACATCAAGATTTAGAAGAGAAGTGAGGGGGTGATTGGGTAAACACTTGTTGCTGGAAATTTCTTTGTGGCAACTACTTTAATTATTTTGAATGGCTAAAGTTCGAGTTTGGAGTGTTGCAAACAATAGGTCCTCTACAGTGCTTAATTGCTTAGGAAAGAACCCAAGGGAAGGCTGCGCTTGAATACAAAGTCGTTATCATACATAACTTTGATTTCACATTCCTGGCATAAAACCAGATTGGTCCTCTGATATGCATTTATCTTGTCTTATACTATCAATTACTCTTTCCCCAAAGATACCTATCATGGGTTATAGGCTTGTTCCTATATAGTTTACCCAAATCTTGATGTATCCTTTATTCTTGTCAATTGTTATCGAAGTGTTCCTCCTCTCTCATCTGGCATTTTATTAGACCTCATTATCTTATTTAACAACTTAAGTTATCCATGTATCACCTGTCTCCCCAAAACAATTCCATACTTAAGTAGGTATGTTATCTGCTCTAAGTCCTCTCCACTTATGAAAGTTTTATAACAAGAAATAAATTGATAAAGTTCATGTGATTTGCTGGAAAATACAGGGCATTAGCTTTGGAAATACACTTGTGTTAGTTCCTATCTTTAGTTGAAGCTTGCTTTGATCTCCATTCCTTTTAGTTCACTTCATCATGGCTCAATTGGGAGATACTAACGTTGTTTACATCCAAGCGTGCTTTATGAGAAAGTGTAAAAAAAGAGTTAACTTTTTCACTTCTTTGGTAAATTTGGACTCCTTCAGACTTTAACCCGGCTTTTGTGTTTGTGCGTTTCAACCTGCCACTCCTTGCTTTAACCTGTTTCACCCTAAGGGTTATTGCATAACTTCTTCATTGGTGCCTGCATCCCTTATGTTCTCTCATTGTATTCTTATATTTCTTTGCTATCCATCAACTCTTCAAGAAGGAAAGAATATTCACACCACACCAATAACAGATGAATTTTGTGACCTTTGCTTGTTGAAATTATAGAGTTTTTAGGCGGGGAAGGAGAAAAAGAGAAAACAAAGCTGAAATTGTTATTGATTTGGTGTGATATGATGTGATATAACATACAAAGCACTAACCCCTATTTACACTAATACTAGACTTCCTAATCCTAATTAAATAAGAAAATAAATTATTAAATAATAAATATAATTAAATATGAAAACCACTCCCAAGAGATGGTCTAAGATACTATAATAAAATATTATGATACAATAATATGATGTTATGAAATATGTTTTTATATATTCTAACACTCCCTCAAGTTAAAGTTTACTACTAAGCGTTAAACTTGTTACAATTAAACACACTAAAAGGAAAATCAAAATGTAACATAAAGACAGACGACAACATTTGGAATCAAAGACGGGCCCAAAATGTAACATAAAGGTAGGCGATGACTTTTGGAACTAAAGACGGGGCCAGATTGCATTGCATTTGGGACAATGACGGGCCAAACTGCATTTGAGTCTAAGACAAGGGTTAGATTACATGTTAGACAAAGACAGGGCAGGGGAGTCATAGCCAACACAAGTTACCATTAATAGGTTTATCCATTGGAAAGAATTCATAACCAGAATGATCGTCGGTGGGAGAAGTCACCACTGCTATGATTTAAATAGTGCAAAAGAATGACATGACAAACACCTTTAAATTTTCTCCCCCTCAATGCTATGTTAAGCATTGAAAAATAGTCATACAGTAGCCAAAACAATGGCAAACCGGAGATAATTGCCACAAGGAATGCCAAGAAGCCCAAGCAGGTCAAACCTGACTAAGAGAAAGAACACGATACATATGACCACCTAACACCAAAAAAAAGGCAGCCTAAATGAGCCAAACAACCATGGGAAGGTGGCAAACAAAGGTGATGGTGGGAGGGACTGACCTGTGATTGTTTGGCAAGGCTAACAACAGTGGAAGTGAGAGGAATAGGGGCAGCATGCACATGAGAAAGGCTGGCTGGCTGGACAGATTCCGGTGACTAGTTGGTTGAGCTGAGGCCAGATCTGGAAAGAGGAGACAACAGTGGGAGCTAACAAATGCTGGGAGATTGATGGGAGCTGGCCAATTTGGACATGCTGGAGCTGATGGTGGGGGTGGTGAGGTGAAAGGCACATTAAAAAGGCACATGGACAGGTGCACCGAAGAGATAGAGAGGGTTTTGGAAGGATAGCATGGCAACAGAGACAGCTAACAGGAAGGAAGAAAATAATGTTGGAAATAAAGTGGAGCTTCAGGGTAAGGGTAAAACCTAGTGCACAAGGCTCCCCGATTTGCAAGGGTAGGGGTGAGGGTTGATTGTATCCAGCCTTATCCTTGCATTTTAGCAAAGAGACTGTTTCCCTGATTCGAGCCCGTGATCTTCTGGTCATAAGAAGCAACCTTACTCTTGCTCCAAGGCTTGCCCTTTAAAAGTGAAGTTTCAGATTTTAGGAAAATCAGCTTTGGAATAGAGACGAGACACTTTGATATTATGATGAAATTATAGGGTTTTTAGGCAGGGAAGGAGCAAAAGAGAAAATAGAGATTGAATAATATGAAGTTGATGTTGATTTGATGTGTTATGGTGTGATATAAAATACGAAACATTGGCACTTATTTATGCTAATATTAGGCTCCTAATCCTAATTTAATAAGGAAAATATCATGATTCATAATGGAATATGGAAATTGCTCCCAAAAGATCACCTAAGATACACTAAAATATTCTAATATGCAATAATGACCTTGAGATTTTCTAGATATTCTAACTGCTGCTGCCTCAGGCTTTTTGTTAATTTACACAGTTATGATAGTATAGAGGATGATATGTCAATTTGATTTGATTTAATTTTTAATTTTCTTGTTTACATCATCATAAATGCTTAATCTAGAGGAGTGTATAATTTCTTATTGATCGAAGAACTCCATCTTGTACTTGTACTGTCCTCCCCTTCGCTTGTTTGTGTGCTATAAGGTTGATTAGTATGTGGAATAATAAACATTTTCTTGCAAATAAGCTGGCCTAAATTTTTTCCCGCTTGTTTTAATTATTTGCAGAGCAACCTTATGACAGCATCCCAAATTTTAGTGCTGCGGATGCTTTAAGACTTACTGGAATTGGGAGAAATGAATTTATTGATATAATGAACAAGTGCAGATCTAAGGTAATTTCCTGTATGGAATAAATAAATATATATTTGATACTAGGATTTCATGTATTATTCTATTATTGTATCAATGTCTGTGTTTGTTTAATTACCTGTTGCAATTGTGGTGCCAATTATTAACTTGGAAGACTTACTTTCATATAAGCAACCGAAGCATTGATTCTAGAGATGCCAAACCAAATATCCCTGACTGTCCCTTGTCTAGATAATGATTTTGTATCATTATTTTCTCACCCGTCATTTCCTCTTTTGGAGTATCCAGAAAATCATGTGGAAACTTAACAAGTCAATTGCAAAAGAACTTCTACCTACACAACCTGTGGAGTTTCTGATTGAACCTTGGTGGGGAGTTTGTCTTGTGAACTTTACTTTGGAAGAATTTAAGGTGAGGTCTTCCTTTCATCCTTATTAAATGTGGAGGGTTCACGTACAAGTTATTCTAGTATTCTATTGTCTAATAATTTTTAGCCATTTTTTCTTGCCTTGTTTCTGCCTTTATAGAAACTCTCAGAAGAAGAAATGGCCACAATAGACAAAGTCTGTAAGGAGGAAGCAAATGCATTTATCCTGTTTGATTGTGACATTGTAAAGGGCCTTTATAGACGGGGATTGATCTATTTTGATGTTCCTGTATATCCTGATGATCGGTTTAAAGGTGTGTTTTATGTGTTAAAGTTTTGTTCTATATTTTGGTTTTCTAGGCTTTACTTTCTGAAAATCATTTTCAGAGGTATAGTTCCTATTTAAAATACTTCATATCCCTTATGCATTATGATCTGAAGGCATGCCTTAGTGGGAATAGGTTACAAAGTAGAGTTGTTCATCTGTTCAATTTGGTGTGTTTTGAGGCATCTATATTCTGATCAACCTGACTGACCATGCTGGTTCCCCAAAAATTGAAAAAAAAAAAAATTATTTATGGTTTCACAGCTGAACGAAACCAAAAATATTGGATGTTATTTTAGTTAATTAGCTTCAATATGTTGGGGAAAGGTAGGAAAACAAGACTTAATGGAGTGAGATATAGATTGACGGATGATGTGTCCTAGGACGAATTGGAGGAAAGCTATTAGCATTGGCGGATGGATATGTAGCTTGAGGTTTAAGAACATCAGACTTGCTGAATAAAACAAATGCAAAAAGTAAATATTTATAAACTTTTGAAAATTTTATTTTGTACAAAAATTGCTGGAATTTTTTAAATTTGTTGAAAACTTGATTGTGTCCAAACTATGCATGATTTCGTAATCGATTTCGTTACAGATATCTGTATATAGAAGTTTAAAATTGATATATAAAGACAAAAAACAGTGGAAGGAATATATAGGTGTATAATATGTACAACACTCATTTTAAAAGCTCTGTCTGCTTAATAGTCTTAAATAATTTTTGTATTTATGGTGGTTCAGTTTCCAGGCTTGAAGGTTTTGTTTCCAACAGGGAGCAGTCTTATGAAGATCCTATTGAAGAGTAATGCATTTTTTCAGTCTGTTACCTTCCTTTTTATTCAGAAATTTTGTTTCCTAAATTGACTCTTGTAACAACATATTTTTCTTCCAGGTTATTGTATGCAGTTTTTGTTGTTTCAAATGAAAATGCATCTGTTGCTGAATTGGCAACAACCCTACAGGCTGACTTGTCGCAACTGCAGGCTGCTGCATCTTTTGTATGTCGACTGGGATGGGCAACAAAGGTAATTGATCCAGCATCAGTTCTTCAAGATACACGTATACCTGGGTCTCCTAGAAATGCAGTCAGTGATGATGATGCTTCTCTTGCTAGTCATGGTTTTGACAATATGCTTATGGATAATGATACCAATCAACAAGGGGATGCTTCAAGTTCAGGGAATCATGGTCCTCATTCTGCCTATACTCGTGTTGCTTTCATAGTTGATGCTAATATAACATCCTATCTTATGATGGGTTCTGTTTCACCAGGTTTTCACCTTTCACTTCCCATCTTCTTGGAGCTTAAATTCATTTGCTGTATTTTTTTGAGTTATTTGTTTTAATGTTGCTGTAAAGTCGGTTATGCTTACATAAAAGGTCATAAGAAACTGATGTCAAGGATTTTTTGAACCTTTTATTGATAGTTTGGATGAGTAAGCTGTCAGTATTAATCATCTTTGATGCAGATGTTTGTAATTACTAACAAGCAGCTGTAGATATCTCACCGTTTATTCTTACTTATCAATCCTAAATTTTTCTGTTACGCAATTTTCTATGCGTTTTGGCATCGGTTGCATAGTTATCAATTGCGACCAACCCTAAAAATGCTATAGCGGTAAAGCCAGTAGCGTTATAGCCACTACAGTGAAGTTCAATTATGTGATATAAAAATATAAAAATATAATTATTTAATATAAAATCATAATATATTAATTATTAATTCAACTTGTTAAAAAAAAATTAGCAGAGAGAGAGATCAAAACAGATTAATCATATTGGACTATTGGAGAAGGAAACATATGCAGATGGTTTTTGGGCTTAACTTGCCACAAAATGAGTAAGAGAGATATGGAACCATTCCTTCACGCAAACATAGTAACAGAAACTGAAGGAATCAACTGCAGAATCGAAACAGAATCAGTGAGAGATCAAGATTGTGCCGCAGTCAGAGAGATTAGGTTGCCATAGGCTTGCCGAAAAATGGGTGAGAAAGAGAGACAAAGTCAGAAAATGAGTGAAAAAGACAGATGAAACGGAGCAACAATTGCAGATCGAGATTTGAAGTAAATTGATCGTAAGGAAGATAGGGTTCAAAAATAAAAAAGGATAAAATTCATTCCACCCTTTAAATTAAATTATTAGTCAATAATACCCTTAACATAAAAAAATCTTTCTCCCCCTTTTTAGTGTGGGAATGCGCTGCTAAGGCTGTGAAACGCTACCTCAAATTGCAGCTGCTATGGCTACCACTGTAAATTGTAGCTTCGCGTGCGGTTTGTTGCTGCTGAGTGCCGCTACCCACTACTAATGCGGTATAGTGTGCTATAGCACCGCTTTTTTCATCTATGATTGGTTGGTATTCAAAGCCCAGGATTTCGCTAATGGCTGAACATAATCATGGTGGTGGTGGACGGAAGGTTCGCATAGTAGGGGACGTGGAATCGCTCTCGAGACCGAAGATGAACAGTCGGATGTGAAAGACCTACATAGAGAATGAAAAGCTGTGACATCAAATTGAGGAACTGGAACGACAGTTTGCATGATTGTAATTGTCCGTTCAAACCAAAGGCGGGATGAAATTTGGAAATGCATATGATGACAACGAGGGAGACAACAATCCCTTTTCGACTCTGAATTAGGGATGGAATTGTGGGATTCAACATGGAGTTCATTCCTCTCTTCCAAATATCGGGATGAAGATCAAGGTTGCTAAGTTTGAGGGCAAGGCTCATCCAAATGAATTTATTGACTGGTTGCATACCATCAAGAGGATCTTTGACTATAAAAATCTAACTGAATGTCAGGTGGTCAAATTGGTGGTGATCTGATTGAGAAAGTGTGGCTTGATTTGGTCGGAGAATGTGAAAAGCCTGCGTGCTAGAGAGGGGAACTCAAAGATTATGACATGGGACGTGACGAAGAAGTTGTGGTGAAAACAAATCTTGCCTAATCATTACAGGGAGGAAGCTTTTATCAAATATCACAACATCAAGTGGAGAAGTCTGCAACATGATAATAGATGTTTGATTGGATTGTTCACATTATACTTCCATTGAAAATGATGAATGTGTCCACCAAAAGTTAGTTACTGAAAATCCTAATTTCTCTGACCAATTTGAAGTTCTACCCACTTCTTTTGAAAAAAAGAATGTTAAATCTGTGAAAAGTGCACCATTGGAGTTTCAAGATGAAAGGTTGTGTATTTCCCAATGTTTGAAGAAGTTTGAGAAGCAAATTTACTTTTTCGCGAATATTCACCAATCTGGGTAGAACTGGCTAGATTCTGACAATCATGAAAAGTATTTACATAGCAAACCGAGGAATGTTAGAGTTAGACAATAATCTTCTAATGCAAGTTTTTTCATTCACTTAAATTAAATTTAGATTCCATGGGAGATGAACCTTTATTGAGGAAGTATCCAATTTGCAAGCAAAATGGTGAACTTGGTTACAATGGATATAGCTCCCTTGTGTTCTGTGGAGATAATTTTTTAGTTTCCGCTTGAAGTTTGATTGGAGATAGCCTGTGACGTGGGACTTAATGTTACCTAAACTGAATTTTCCTATGACTGATCACAAATCCAAACTACAAACACGAGTCCTTTTGAGATAGTCTATGGGCATAATCCAATTATTCCTGAAGCTCTCATGCCATTGTTAGTTCACAAGTTTAATTTAGATGCAAGTAAACTTGCCAAGTAGATCAAAGAGTTGCATACTCGAGCTCTACCATTGATTTTATTCCTGAAGCTCTCATGCCATTGTTAGTTCACAAGTTTAATTTAGATGCAAGTAAACTTGCCAAGTAGATCAAAGAGTTGCATACTTGAGCTCTACCATTGATTGAGGAATTTGCGGACATAATACCAAAAGAGTTGCCACCTAGGTTACCAGGCAATCAATGAAGCTGAAGTAGATTCAAGGGCGAATCTTTCCTCGGTAGGGGACGATGATGAACTAAAATTAGCTAAGATCCTATGCATGAGTGGTTTTTAGGCTTCTTTTTATTAGCACTGGCAATATCATATTTTCACATTTTTATTTAAATTGTTTCCTTATTTTAATCATGTTTAATGTTGATTGGTTTTAATTAGCTATCTTTATTTTTAGGGAAGCTTTCTTTTTCTTTTAAGATGCTGATTGAATTGTAACAAGTTGTCTTTAATTTTTTTTATTTTTTTTATATAGGCGTTTAGGGTTAATTAATATCATATAAAAGGGTGTTCAAGACTCATATTGAAGGTTGTTTAATTTCTAAATTTTTTATTGTCGTTTTTCGATAACAATGGTTCTCCTTGTCATTCCCAAATTTGTCTGTTTAGCCAATTTTCTTTGCATTTCAGTATTATTTTGCTTTGATTTTTTTTTAATTGAAAATAAAATTTATATGAAATAAAAGAGGGAATGTACAAACTAAAGGAGGATATGAAATCCTCCAAATACGAGACTTGATTGAACAAAGTACACCATGTGAGAAAAAGTATAAAATACAGCAAAGCTACATGTCTGAAATCTGAAATGGAAACTCCATTCTTTCAATCATTAGCTGAACACACTGTTTACTGAAACAATCATTGGCTCGGCACCAGAATAGCCATAAAAGCAACCCTGTTGCCAAGATGAGGGGAGGCACCCTAAATTCCTCTCCAAATGATTGCGACTTGCGAGAAGTGCACACTGCGACAAGGTTTTTACCACTTTTGTCAAATCTTTTGAACCTAACCAGCAGAAAACTCTTCCAAAATAGGAGGACAAACTTTAGTGCTCTCCAAGGACCCCAAACTCTCCAAGGACCCCAAACAACTTGTTCCATAAGAAAGTAGTCACCTCAAAGTGCAGGAACAAATATCCATTTATTTCTGAACTAGAACTGCACAAGACACCTCTTATGGAAGAGGGCAGTTGGATACCTATGAACTTGCTGCTAATCATTAGTACTGCTGTCTAGATGAAAAACTAGACATTTTAGGGGTAGCTTGAGACTTCCAAATTGATCTATCAGGATGAGATTTCTGTTGGTTGGGATAATGAAAATAAAAAGGAAATAAGGTTTAACAAAAAATAAAACACACCAGAAGAATCCGGGTCCAAACTCGCATTTCTGGGTTAGCAGATTGCTTAAAAGAATCAAGTGAAACAAGAAGGAATATGATAGGTATCAGAGATTAATAGAATGAAAACTGATGGAATTTGTAAATGTGTTATTAACTCAGCCTCTTAATCAACAACTATATCATTAACATTCTCCAACTGTGAAGTTACAAGTAATTGAAAGCAAAATTACAAGTATGAGAAATACGTAATGACAATGTGAAACAATTCACAATAAGAAATAGCTGCTAAATGATGTACTACCCATAACAGTTAGAGAGGTCTGGTTCTCTCCCAATTCACCCTAAAAGGATGCCCAACTTCCAAATTCCAAAGATACTATTCACACGCTCCCTACCCCTATATGTAACAACTCAGTAATTGTAATAACACCCCTTTGCTGGAAGCGTGACCTCCCTTCCTTACATTCGGTTATTGTCCACGTGATGCACCTGACGCACCCCACTATCCACGTCAGCAGCCTTCCCACTAAATGTGCTCAATGTTGCTGACTCATCATTCTCATCATTCAGGATCCCTTAATGTTGTTTCTGCCTTCTTTTGTACACCTTCCCAAATTTGCCCCTGCCCACGAACGTATCAGAATATTTGCTCACTAGTTTACCTATTCAAGTCTATGCAAACGAGGAGGTCCCAAGACAGGGGCATCATTTGCAGAAAGAAAGCTTTTAATGGGTAAATTGTGCCAAGTATGAGATGATAAAGGTTGAGGAATGCCTCTAGGAAAGGAGTATTTCGTACCATAGAATCCTCCCAAAACCTGATGCAAGAACCATCGTCCATGTGTAGGGAAACTAGAGGTCTAAAAGAAGTATCTACCAAATAAAAGAGGTTTAACAGAAGAGTATTCCAGAGTGATAAACTTACAACACCAGCATGAATAGCGGGGGAGAAATAAAATATGTCATGCGAACCCCTACTTGATAATGTGATAGATAGGAAATCTGTCATGTGAACCCTTTTAAGGACGGGAATTTTGAGAAGTGGTTGAATGTCAGCTAATACATGGATTGTAATATTTATGCAAGAAAAACCAAGACAGAAGCTTAATTTCAACAACTTTCTGTTGCTGATCCCCGTGTTGTGTGCTGCTTATGTTGTCTACTTGTCACCATCATACAAATAATATGCATGCATAACATCCACAAGTGAGAAACTTCAAGGTCATCATATTAGCATTTAAAATTGAGACTTCTAAGTCTTCCAAATCTTTTTTTATTTTTTTTTTGTTAATCTTTTTCTCTTTCAGGTGGTTCTCTCTGTCCATGTTTAAAGTACTCCACAAAACTTTGCAGTTGTAAATAACTTTGATAGTTGTTTATTATTCTTAGCCTGTAATTTCATTATGTCTTGAAGCTTGCAAAAAGAGGATTTATTGAGCCGAAACATGATTTCTTAGCTTATGGATGATAATTGCTTTGATTATTGATTGATAAACCCGTGTGTGTTTTACTTCTATACAAAAGCAGTAAATATTTTCTTTTTTCCTATTCATCGAGTTTGTTTGTCATCTATCTTCTGTGTCTGAGAATTGTTTTGTATTTCTTTATCTGTCTATAGTCTGACCAAAATCATTCTTCCTGCTGAACTTTGTCAGGCCTTAAATCTCATGCTGTTACACTCTATGAAGCGGGTAAATTGGGTCATGCTAGCATTGCTGATCTTTGCAAGGATCTTAGCACTCTGGAAGGTGCAAAATTTGAGGGAGAACTACAGGAATTTGCAAATCATGCATTTAGCCTGCGTTGTGTATTAGAATGTCTACAATCAGGTGGAGTTGCTTCTGATGCAAAATTGGAGGAAGGATTTGATAAGATGGATATGGCTACAAGTACTCTGATAGCTGATATATCTTTGGCTGAAAAATCAGGAGAGACTGGTATTGCAAGAGCTGGGATGAATAATGATGATTTATTAAGTTTAGATTCAGAGAAGTCTGCAGAGGCTTCTGTTTCCTCTGAGGCTGTTCTTAATAGTATGGTTGATGGAACCCAATCTATTACTTTGGAAGATGATGACAGTCACATACAGGAATCCAGTAAGTCAGACCAAAATCTCCCGAACAATGAGAATCTAATGGTTGAAGGGTCAGAGGTTGAAACAGAAATGCTGAAGGGGAAAAAGAAATATCGTGTAGACATTCTCCGCTGTGAAAGCTTGGCTTCTCTTGCACCGGCAACCCTTGATCGTTTGTTTCTCCGTGACTATGATATAGTTGTGTCCATAGTACCTCTTCCTCATTCGTCAGTTCTTCCTGGACCCACAGGTCCAGTTCATTTTGGTCCCCCAGCGTATTCTTTTATGACTCCTTGGATGAAATTGGTATTATATTCAACTGTAGGTAGTGGGCCTCTATCAGTTGTTCTAATGAAAGGGCAATGCCTGCGCTTGCTTCCTGCTCCATTGGCTGGTTGTGAGAAAGCTCTCATATGGTCTTGGGATGGTTCCACAGTAGGAGGGTTGGGAGGTAAGCTTGAGGGAAATTTAGTTAAGGGAAGTATACTCCTACATTGTTTAAATTCACTTCTTAAACAGTCAGCTGTGCTAGTGCAGCCTTTCAGTAGGTTTGATCTTGATGGATCTGGAAAAATGATTACTATGGATATCCCTTTGCCCCTAAAGAACTCTGACGGCTCAATTACCCCTGTTGCAAAAGAGTTAGGAATATGTGAAGCGGAAAGTTCTAAACTGAATTCTCTCTTGACTGATTTGGCAAACAAGATGGAACTGTGGACAGTTGGATATATTCGTCTATTGAGATTATTTAATGGAAGAGAATCAGATCCATTCTCACCTAACGAAGAGAATTATGAATGGGTTCCATTGAGTGTTGAATTTGGGATGCCACTATTTAGTCCAAAATTGTGCAATAGTATATGTAGAAGGGTAGTTTCATCTGAGTTACTTCAATCTGGCTCATTTGGCGAACACCATCATGCAATGCAAAGCTTAAGGAAAAATTTGCGTGACATTTGTGCTGAGTACCAAGCAATAGGTCCTGCTGCCAAGCTTCTTTACCAGAAAGAGCAAGCTAAGGAATCCTCACGACAACTCCTGAACTATGCTAGTGGAAGATGGAATCCGCTTATGGATCCTTCTTCCCCCATTTCAGGGGCATCAAGTGAGTATCAAAGGTTAAAACTTGCTAATCGAGAACGCAGCCGGACTGAAGTTTTAAGCTTTGATGGCAGCATTCTTAGGTTTGTTAACTTATAAGCATTTTACTTCTTGAAGATTACTCACTTTTCTTATCAGATAATTGAATGAATTCTGTTAGTGTTTTTTCGACAAACATAAAGTTGGTTACTTTATCACATATAATCACCTAGCATCTTCTGTAATCTAATTGAATGATCAACCCTCTTGCTGATACATTCTAAATTAAAAAATGTATAAATTTTTGCAAACAGTTTGAAAAGCAATGATAGCTAACCCGCGAATTTTCTTAAGTCTAGATTGAGAATTATCTCCACCTCTAAAGAAAAAGGGGGGGAAAACCGTTAGATAAATTTCCAAATGTAAGTTGAGTTGCGTTGGCTGCAGTGTGGCAATTGCATCCCATTCATTGTGTCGAACTCTGCTTTGAATTTACTGATGAGGTAAAAAATGGTTAATTGAGGAAACTACCATGACCATTTTTCGGGTAATATGTGACTGAATCAGGAAAAAAAAAAAAAAAACTTCAGTAATGATTTTCTCTATAAATGGGAAACTGAACTCAAAGTGTCTGCCCTTTCTTCTTTGGTATGTTGCGTATTCATAATTTGTTCCATCTCTCTAGCTTAATCTGTATAATTTTAAAATAGCATGTAAATATTTTGCAAATTTGAATTTTAAAAACTAGAGAATCTATATATAAGTGCAAATACAGGATATTGGAAAAGCACAAAAAATTGTGAAAATAACAGATATCAGAAAAGTAAAATACCTTAAATCAGTTTTTATGTATATAGTTCCATTATATATACGTTTTGGGAAAAGTGTGTGTCATTTTAAAGGATGTAAAGTTGTGTCATTTAAGAGAGAGAAAGAAATAAATAAAGGAGGAGAGAGAGTTGACAAAAAAATAAAGATATGGGTCCCACCTCTTTGTGAGAGTGAAAGGATATAAATTGTGTCATTTAAAATGATAAACATTTTTCCCATACGTTTTAAGTGCCATCATTTATAGTTGTTTTGTGCTGCTATGTTTCATAATTGTCATCCTTTGGTATTTATTTATTTTTTGTTTTTGTGTTTGTGTTATACAAACTCAGACGTTGAAATATTAAACCTGGTATAACTCTTCCATCTGTATAGTTGATAATTTCTGTTTCCTAACCATTCTTTTTCTAAGAAACTTTGTTTTTGAATGGTGCATGCAGATCTTATGCCTTAAGTCCCGTTTACGAAGCTGCCACGAGGCCCATTGAAGAAGAAACCCAAGCCAATGTAAAAGCTGAACCAGATGAAAGTGATAGTAAAGAAGTTATCCTTCCTGGAGTTAATCTTATTTTTGATGGCTCTGAGTTACATCCGTTTGATATAGGTGCCTGCCTCCAGGCACGTCAACCTATTTCCTTAATAGCAGAGGCGGCAGCCACCTCGGCATCTTTAGTAATCAAATAGGTCTGCAGTTACTATAGATTACTCCACTTCAATATGCATGAACGGCAATGCTAGCGAGTCACGTGCCAATGTTATTGCTACTATCTGGTTTGTTTTCATCTTCGAGATTGTTGTGGTCAGGTTGAAGGTAAGTTTCGTCTTTTTCTAGTTTGTGTATTTTACCTGTTCTGTGACGCTGTTTTAATTGTTTAAAACTGTCTTTCATTGCTCAACCTCTTTGTCGCCTTAACACTGCCAGCCTTAAGACTTACTGTCCTCCTTTTTTCTTCTTGTGTGTCTTTTGCATGTATTTGTGAATGCCTTTCTATTTTCTCTGCTGTTTCTAAATTCTAATCCTAATTGTTTCATACTTGTGTCAATCTCCTGCGATAAATTGAACTGTACAATATTGTTGATAAATGCAGATTGAATTTATTTTGGGTTTCACCATATCCGGGATATTCACAAGTTACAGCTGCAAAAAAGAGTAAAGGTGTAATCGTTGTTAAACAATTCGGTGGACATTACGACAGGATTTTTTGCTCCTGTCAAATATTTGCAGCAAAACGGACATTAAGCCTTCCGTGGTTCATATTAGAGGAAAAGATGGCCGTTTGGGAAATCATTATTGCCTTCCATCTTTAAAGATGTGAATTCATTGTATTTTACTTAAATTGTATCCTCGTGATGTGCCTTTTTCCATTTGTTTTATTAATCTAAGAAAAATATTGAGCGTGATATAATCTTTCTTTTGTGACGCACGTTCCTTGCAGATACACACTTTCATCGTCACGTGGGGGAGAGCGTCAACTCTATACAAGATTACCTGCCAAGTTTTAAAGCTCTTTATTTTCTGACACTTATTAGTAAGACTGAAGAGTCAAATTGGATCCCTATGGAACATTAAGTAGCCCTTCTAAAATTACGAATATGAAGTTAGTCTAATATTTTAAAGTTAGTCCATCGCAAAGGAACGCTTTGGAGAACCAACTTCATGCTATGAAGGACCGATATGAACTCTTATTTTTTTTGCCATTTTCTATTTTAGAGAAACAAGGGACGGAGGTAACTAAGGTTATTCGTAGATTGGAAGATGGAGAGGTGTGTGTCAGGTTGAGTTTTTACTATATGGGATGGGGGATTTTTAAACTTAAGGTGGAATCAAAGTGAAGATCTGGTTCATCATTTGTCCAATCTTCAAGTAGTCGTTATTATTGTGAATGTGGAAAACCAGCGTACCTAAGGATATTTTAGTCAAAATCAAATCCAAGATGGTGTTGTGAGTGCATGTGTTGCAGAATCAGTTGCTATGGATACGTACACAACATATGTGCAACCTGACCTAGACGCCTAACCCGTGCCGACCCATTCGAGGCACATGCTTAGCTCAAGCCCAATTATTCTAGATCCATTGTGTTGATTTAAGAATTTTCCTTCCGATTGCATTGTGAGTGTGAGAAATGTTTGTTATAATTATGATGAGTGTTACTTTTTTGGTCACAAATGTAAGGTTCATGCATCCTTACTCTTCTTACCTCTACTTAGGTGGCACCGAAGCTGATCTTGATCTGGCCAACGCCCTACTCCTTCAGCAATTAAATCTCGGGGTTCTGATTCCACACTTGAGATTAGTTTTTGATGAAATTGATTTTTACCAAACAAAAGAAACAGTGAGCATAGCCCTTACACTTAAAAAACACAGAAATTGCAAAAAAAGAAAGGGTCCAAAGGAAGGACTGAGACATTACTCAATACCTCCGGAGGTTTCCACAGATTCTCTACTACTAATAACAAACTATTCTAAACCACCTACTACATTATATAGACTCTTAATCTCTCCCTTCTAACTAACTCCAAAATGCTAAACCTGGGCCCACTAGTCCTAGTCCATCAATACTCCCCCTTCATCATATTGTCTTCAAGGTGAAGACAATATGTTAGAGAAGTGTTAGAGAAGTGCCACTTGGGTCCCATTGCCGGAAGCCAATTACTTTGTTTCCAATGTCCTTTTTGACCAGAAAACTAAGTTTAATTATAGTCTCATCAACCTCAAAAGGAATCAACACATATCGTCTCCTTTACTTGCTTTACTAGTTTTGGTCCATGAACTTTTCCATTTTTTTTGGACCCTTATTAATTACAGCACCAATTTATTGGATTTAACCACTATAATACTTGGGCCTTGGTCCAAAATAACTGCTGAAGTTATTTTTATGTGATAGATAAAAAAGTTGGGAACAATGACTATTTTGTCACGCTTGACAAAAAAATCTATCAGACTGCCATGCTAATCGTAAATTTTTTTAAAATGCCACGCGGCATATTTCGCTACACTGTGTAGCGAAATATGTTTGCATATAATTCGCTACACAGTGTAGCGAAATATGCTATGTCAGGTTGCACAGTCAGCAAAAATGACACGTGTCAAGCACGCAGAATCCAAGCATAATTCGCTACACAGTGTAACAAATTTCTACTTGCTTGACACGTGTCATTTTTGCTGACTGTGCAACCTAACATGACATATTTCGCTACACTGTGTAGCAAATTATATGCAAACATATTTCGCTACACAGTGTAGCGAAATATGCCGCGTGGCATTTTGAGAAAATCAACTGTTTGCGTGGCAGTCTGGTAAATTTTTTTGCCGGGGTGTGGCAAAATGTTCACTCTCCCAAAAAGTTGACCCAAATTCTGAAATATCATTTCTGCCCTTGCTTTCTCTTTCTCCTCCTGTTTCACGTCTTTTTTACGTTGCATATACATTTTTTTTTTCTTCTTTTTCTTCGTCAAACTCCATCTTCTTCTTCGGCAACTCTTGATCTTCTTCTTCTTCTTCGGCAACTCTTGATCTTCTTCTTCTTCTTCTCTTTTTTCCTTTTCTGCAATGTCTTCTTCTTCATTTCTCCCTCCTTTTTCTCCTTCGTCTTCTACGTGTTCTTCTATTTTCTTTTCATTTTTTCATTTTTCTTCTTTGTTTTCTTTGGTCGCTTCCATTTCTGCCTCTTGATTTTTCTTGGACTAAAAACCAACATCACCATCATGTTGCGTTATGGCTTCCACAATTAGAGCATCTTGCTTCTCTTCCAACGCATCTAAGCTGTTTACCAATTTCTGCAGCAACTCCTTCACCCCCTGATGTGTTGGCCATCTCCCAAGCCCTAAGATCCACCACTCCCATGGTTCTCATTCCTTCACAAATTTGGACCAGAAAGCACCTTCGCATTGATACCAAATTGATTAAACTAATTTTTACTAAACAAAAGAAATAATGGGCATAGCCCAGAAATTGAAGAAAAGTGTCCAGATGAAGGACCGAGACATTACACAATACTCCTGGATAGGGTGTCAAAACACGAATTTGACACTACACATCATGAAAACGACATGAATTTTTATTCGTGTCAAATTTTTCAATACGAACACGACACAAATTTTTTGTGGATTGACATCACACGACATGAATAATACATAAAATAGAGGTCAAAACAGTGACTGACAATTTTTTTTTTTATAAAAATGGGTCAAAATAAAAAAAATAAAAAAATAAAAATGGTTAAAAGAATATATCAACACAAATACGATACGAATTTTTTATGTGTCATTTTTTTCCAACACGAACCCAACATAATTTTTTTGCCGGGTCAACGTGAACATAAATTTCTGTGTCGTGTCATGGATCGACCCACATGTCATAATCTATATTAACACCCTAGGTGATTCTTTTATACATAATTGAAGCTCTTATATAGAAGAAAAAAGAGGAAATAGAAAATTTAGAACATCTCACAGTATACCAAAATATTTCAAAATAAATTTTTATTCTTAATAGTGTTTTTTGTTAAACACATTTTTATTTTTAGGAGTAATAAAACTGCCATTACGATCGCCATTAAACACTCCGCGATTATTAACAGTATTAGTTCTGTTATCATTATTAACTGTAAATCTTATGCCTTCGATTTTGTCAACTCCAGCACAATGAGGGCAAGCATCTGGCATCCAGCGACCACTTTTTAAGACTTTATCGAACATCTCAAACAATGAAGTTGCAGGGTGAAGGATTGGTCCCTCAACCTGTAAACCAGCAGGACCGTCTTCACCTCGAATCTTTGCCACCACAGAGAATCCTGCATCAGTTTTTCGTAAATTGGCAAAATAGTGTGACACAATCACCATGAATGGACTTTGATTAAAACCCTCTTTCTTCGTCTCAATAACCACAAAACCCCTTTGATGACCACGACCTATGAAGCACCGACACTGATACGGCATTTTCGATATGTTCCCGATACGTGTGTCCGATACGTTACTTCAAAAATACTAATATTTCGATACGTTCCGATACGTCTTAGTATTAAATAATATTTTTAAAATAGTGTACTTCACATTAACAAAATATAATAAAATATACAAATATACGTTACTTCAAAATCATGTTAAAAGGAAAAATTAAATATAGAATATACAATATACAAATATACAGAATATAACAATATAAATTTTATGTAAATAGAATATACAAATATAATATATTTTAAATTTTATGTAAATAGAATATACAAATATAATATAAAAATATATTTGTATATTATATTATATTTGAGCAGACCAAGGAGCATTGGATCCTTCAATATAAAAATCACTCCATTCTATTATATTATACCATGTACAAATAGAATATACATCATTTGATCCTTCACTTACCTACCGACACCGTGACTCCGTGCGAGAGGATCCTTTTTGAGCAGCGACCGACAAAAAGCCAAAAGGAGCAGAACGAAAGCCAAGGAGGAAGAACGACGATGGAGGTCGGAGGACGAACAGCTACCACCGACAGCCAAGGAGGAAGAAAGATCGATTGTGAACAGCTACCACCGTGGAGGAGCCGAGGAGGAACAGCGACGGCCGACGGCGAACAACGGCGGAGGAGGAACAGGAACGGCGAACCAACGACGAAGGAGAAACTAGCGACGGCGAACCAACAGTGAGTAGAACTTTAAGCGCGTCTGAGATTCAATCGATTTGGGTGCTTTTTGTAAAAAAAAAAAAACACGCTTTAATTATTTTTTTAAAAATTACTGAAATGTCATTGACTCATCTGATACGCAAAGAAAGAGTATCCCAACGTATCCGTATCGGACGTGTGTCCGATACGTAGAAATTTTTTTATTTTGCGTATCCGTGCTTCATAGACCACGACAATTAACCCAGTACGGGTTAATGGATGTTTCAGTAATGACACCACATGCTGTGGTGGCATTTATCAAATTGGCCATAGCATCCTGTTCATCTATATTTGAGGGAGGTATAACTCCTCCATTAATAACAGAACGGGTTATTATCCCTAACATATCTAAATCTGGTACAACATCTGTCTTCGCATATCGCACCTTGAGATGTTGGCCTTGTGCTCTTTCTACCATCATTTCAAATCTTTGTGTTTCTGTGATAGGTTTTGGCCAAACATACCAAGACACAGCATCAGCATTTACTTTATCACTATCTGTGATTGAGATTATGTACTTTTCCACGCGGTTGCTCCCAGGTCGTCTCATTTTCTTGATTGAAGCTTTGGAGGTTCTATCATCAACGCAATACAAAACACTATGCTCCTCAAAAACATAAGACTCTCCATTAATTTCGGTATTCCCCTGAGATCTACTCATTTCGAAGGAAGAACATTTTCCCAATTGTACCTTGCTAGAACCACCGCTAAGAGTGTTTCC